GCGATCGATCGCAACGCACTACCGCGCCAAGGTCGGTGGCGCGGTAGGACCTGCCACGTCAACGGTCCCCGAATCCGGTCGTCGCCACGTCAGCCGCTGCCGCGCCCCATGCATGGCGCGGCACAGGCATTTGGCCACGCCAGGGCAATAGGCGAGCCAAAATTGTTAGTTTTAAAAAACCGATCATATTAGATTTAAAATTAGTTATGAAAAAGTGTTAAAATTAAAAAAAATTCCCAACAGCCGGTTCAAAAATCATTTTTTTAATTGGCAAGAATCGAGTCATCTATTTGCCTCGATGCCAAAATTTTTTTGAAGTTGGCATCGGTCCTGCAATGTGATGACCCGAGGCTCAAACGCTCCCACTCTTCTTTCGGCATCGATATTTTCCTACACTGGCTAGTCTAAGCCAAGCAGTGCGGCGCAGCGGCAGGCCAAGTTTGGCTTGGTACCTTCTAGTGAATCATGTTTGCTTGGCTGATAAGTCATAACTTAAAATATTGTTGGCTAATTTGTTGTGAGAGAAAAATATTGTTCGTTGGCTAAAAAAAATACGGCTTATAAACCAAGTGAAAAGGGCAATAATAAGTGGTGTCTTTAGGGCATTTTCTTGGTTGTGCCAGAAAGATCTCATTTTGTTGTCTTCTTACATGATATTGCAATAGGCTTAAAAAATAACACTTGTAAAATTTATCAGTTTACATGGTATGATCAACAATGATGCATACAGAATTAAGCATATTTGTAAATTTGGTGCTAAATGGTTGCTCTATCTCGCACCCAACAACTTGTTGACCTAACCAGATGCCTATACTAGTACATGCTTCTGTTTAAACAGGTGCTATACAAGAAAGGAAATGTATAAAAATGTTCTCAGAAAAGTCACGAAAAAAGATTTAGATGTTCTCTAATGATTTTTTTTCCCAAATCATGAAAATTGACTTAGTTTGTGGAACAGTAATGCTACGGTGTGGGCGTTCGTCCGCCCCGACACTCCTTGGTGGGTCGTGACGCCAGCCCAACTATCCCCTCACATCTGCTCGGGAGTTTCTAAAAAAAATCCTCTCGTCCACTCGTTCATATCTGCTCTTGGCACCGCCCCACCGTAGTGCACCTCCGGACGACCCTGCCGTCGCAAGGTCCTGCAGCAGGACGCTCTCTCTTCCTCGCTCCCTCCCCACCATGAAGTGCCTGCTCTTGCATCTCTCCCCGCGTGGCTTGCCCCTTCCCCTGCTGCTCCTTCCCGTGAGGCACCTGGCCCCTCCCCGCGTTGCTTCGCGCGCCCGCGCCGCGCCCCCATCCACCTCCCCCATCGCGAAGGGGATGCAAGGGAGGCCTACGCCTGCGCCTGGGGAGGCCTATACCTGCGCCGCGCCCCCCATCTACCTCGCACCGTCAGCAAGAAGGGGAACCCTACGCCACCGCAGTTCCTCACCAGGTAGGTCGTGGTCGCATGCCGGCGAACGCTTTGTTTTCAAGTGTTTCAGCCTTTTAGACTTATGTTCAAGTGTTTTATCTGAATGTTGCAAAAGTCGATTTGGGATGTTGCATATGTTGTAAAGGCAATATACGCATGTTGCAAGCCTATGTTTCAGGTGTTTCAGACGTTTGTCTTAAATTTTTCATCTGGATGTTTCAAATGTAGATCTTGGTGTTGCACATGTTGCAATGGCTACAACGCATGTTTCAACTGTTTTCAGACTTATGTTGCAAGTGTTTCATCTGGATGTTTCCAAAATATATTTTAGTGTTGCACGTGTTGCAATGGCTACACACGCATGTTTCAAGTGTTTCATCGTCTGTTTTCATATTTATGTTGTAGATGTTTCATCTGGATATTTCAAAAGTAGATCGGGTGTTGCATGCCGCCGTCCGCCTGCTGCTGCTGGTGCTCCGCCGTGGTTCACGTGCCGGCGCCTGAGGCCAGCAGATGCCTCCGCGCGCGCGTAGCTGTAGGCAGGGCAGGTGGGCACGGGTGCCGTTGTGCGGGTCATGCAGGTTCCGCCATGCGAGCGCGCGGCGTGGTTCCACCGTGCGAATGCTGGATGGGCGCGGGGGCAAGGTTTTGCCATGCGGGGCGTGGGCCACGGTTTTCGGACGCTGGCGCTGGTTCTGAACGGGTTGGAGCGCGTGGGATGCGATGTGGGCACGGGGGCACGGGGGCTGCATCCGGACGCAAGCTTGGGGCCGAACGTCTGGGCACGAGCAACCCCATTCATGGAAACAAAGGTCCACCGCCCCATAGCTCACTTTCCAAAAGGCATTATTTTCATAATGTTGTTGTTCACTGCTGCTTGAATGTATAAGTGGCATTTATGCGTTGACATGTACTATCACTTTCTTTAATTTGTTTTTTAAAACTTTACTCCGAGCACTTGACATTGATAGGCTATTTGTAAATTGGGAGAACCGAACGCTAGTTAGACCAAGGAACCCGACTACTTATATTTTTTTTGTCAAGGAACACGAACACTGGTATGTAGTCAACTTACACTATTCGGAAAGTGATTGGTGTGGCAGTAGTGGGAGCCGACGCGTGCTCTCTCTTTTCCGGCCCATCTACGATATATGTTAATTATGTTAGGACGTCGTCCTGCGCGCGGTAAGCGTGAGTGAGCGATCCTTGGACCATCCGGGGGAATCGCAATGCAAGCGATGCACAACGCCTCTCTTGTTGTGGCAATGCAATGCTCTCGCTAGTGCGCTCGTATTTGATAATGGCTGGCTAAGATAAGATACGTGGCCCAAAAAAACGCAAGCAAGTGGAGCTGTGCTTTCTGATCCTGTACTCCCTCCGGTTCTCTAAAGCAAGTCGTTTTGAGGTTGTCTTAAGTCAAACATTTTAAACTTTGACTACAAATAACTTCTTTTGGGTTAAGTTTGAAAATATGAAAGTGATGTAAGTAGATTCATCTCGAAATGTAGTTTCATAAAAGTATATATTGACTATATTTTATAAATATTTTATAGAAAAAAGTTGCAGTCAAAGTCGTTTCTTAAAGACCGTGTCGATGTCTAAAACGACTTGCTTTAAAGAACCGGAGAGAGTACTAAGTTTTGTTTCCTCGTTTTCAAACCGGCAAAGAAAAGCTAGCTGCTGCTGTGCTTGCTCGTCCATGCCTTAGCTCGTTGGGACAGCGCGCAATGCGATATAATTAATTGGGCGATGAGTTTCTTTGTGGTCTGCGGCTGCAGCAGGACGATCGATTCACCGGCCGGCCAGATCGAGGCTGACAGGACAGCCGGACGATATGTGCCGTGACATCACGGCCGGATCGACGAGGTCGTCGACTTCGGCGGCACGCCATGCAGGGGCGGTACGGTGACCCCTGGTAGTTGCATGCATGCATGAGCAGATGATGAGCTTGTGAGCTGTGACTCGATCTCACGAACCATGCACCGCTTCCGCTTGCCGGCAGTCGTCGGCGCAGATGGGATATTCAGATCGCCGTCCTAGCTAGCCTGCTAGTAGCTGGTAATCGATCGGTCCTGTCGTCGTTTATCCCCCTTGCGGCCGGTACCGAAAATCCGGTGCGCACTTGAGTAGAAGCACTGCAGTGATCATTTCCATTTCCTTTGGGGGAAAAGCTTTGTGCGAGCGATCGAGATGCAATGGTGGATTGGTGGTGGCTCGCTACCTTTGCCGTTTAAGAAAAGGGAAATGGTACCATTTGGAAAGCAAGCTAGGTTGGTGATGAGGAGGGTGCCTTTACACCCTTTATTTAATTATAAGAGAGGGGCACAGACATTATATATTTTTTCACTTTATAAGCACACCACCCTGAACTATATACATATGTCTAAATTGGAAACTATCTGGAACCAAAGACTTTTTTTTTCAAGTATTCATTCGCATAAAATTTCTACGCTCCAAACAGGCCAGCATCTATAACTTCTACAAAATATGACTTGCCACCAGAGACACACTACCATAGATTCTGTGTTCCTACTTATATATAAGGTCCACTTCTCACTACCACCAGTCCACCACATCTATAACTTAGTTACCAGTTCATGCCAGTGGCTACTCTGATTCCTTTTTACACACTGACTCGTGTGTGACACCTGTGTAAGTGAACACCGGCAAATGTTGGAGCAACACCCTTTTGCTGAAAAGGATTTTATATACGGAAATAAAACCCCATGGGGGATGCAGTGCAGCCGCGCACCATGCATGGCCTCCCTTTTTGCAACTCAAACGAAAAAAAGCTACTAGCATTATGTATATGGTCCTTTACGAATGAAATCGCAAGACACCAAGGGTAGCTTTTTTCCCAAGTACCTGTAGATATCATCAGGCCATTCATTTGGCGCGCAACTTTGTCGTAAAGCACATGTACAACAGGGGGAGGACAAATGAGTTGAATATGGAAACAGTGCCGGTGGTGGTGGCAGCCATGGGGGCCGGCACCCATTGCCCATTGGCATGTAACCACTGGGGGAACAGCGCGACAGCACGCAGGGTGCTCGCCTCGGCTCGGCAAACTACTGCGCGCGCTGCGCTTGCACTGCTGACTGCCCACTGCGCCACTGGGGGGATCATCAACTGATCTGGACGGAGGCAGGGCAACAGTGCCATACATCTACGCCACACATGCATAGATGTGTTCACGTGTGCACTACTCGTCAAACTATCATCATCAATATCTCTCTCTACTGATAAGAGACGACGACCTTGACCTCCATATCGCCATCTCTGACATGTGGAGTTGTAGTAGTATACTTTACACAAGCGGCCGGCTCTCAAGAGTTACATGCATATGCATGCTGCATTCACATTATATATAGTGGGGTACGTAATAAGGATAGAAAAGAAAAGAAATTATATATGTAGATGGCAAAATATAATCCTTTTTCCCCCGATCTTCTAGTACTAATAATCTGTCACAAAACCTCGCCCCAGTTAATTAATTAAAAAAACAAGAAGATTAAATGGAGGCGGATGATCAAAGTCAATAGCAAGATACTAATAAATGGATTAATCGACGCATCACACGCGCTTAGACCTGGCCGCCACCTCCACGGCTGTCGCCATCGTGCTCCCCGTCCGACACACTGATGAGCGGGCCCCGCTCCGACCCGCCTCTCCTCTGCTGCTCCTTTCCCTCCGTCGCCGCCGTACCAGCAGCGCCACTGTCATTGCAGCTGCTGCCGCTGCCGTTGCTGCCGCTGCCGCGGTTCTCCCTAACCACGGCATCGGTGTCACCGCTGACGCTGGCACTAGGGATGTCGTCGCTGGTCATGAGGCCCTCCTCCAGTTTCTCCAGCTCGCTGTCGTTGCTGCAGCTCTCGCTGATTGGCACGTAGCCGTTGTTCTTCTTGCACCCGGCAGCGCTGTTGCTAGTGGCGATCACAGTGGATATATCACTAGACGATGCCGAGGAGGTGGTGGTGCTGGTGTTGCACTCGCTGTGGTTGTTGTTGCTGGTGCTGCTGGCTTTCGTCAGCTCCTTGGCGCGTCCGACCTCGACGTCCCAGTCGGTGGCCGCCACCGCGCGCGCCATCCAGACGGCGCACGCGGCCTGCGCCGCCAGGAGGCCGACCCACAGGCCGGCGAAGCCCAGGCGGGCGCCGAATGCCAGCGCCACGCCCACCGGCATCCCCACCAGGTAGAAGGAAGCGAGGTTGATGCGCGCGCCGCTGGCCGGGCGGGCGCTGCCGCGGAGGACGCCGCAGCCGGCCGTCTGCGGGCAGTTGCCGAGCTCGCAGAGGCCCGCGATGGGGAGCGCCACGGCCGTCAGGCGGAGGATGTCCGCGTCCGACGTGAACATGCGGCCCCAGTGGGAGCGCACGGACACCATGAAGGCGGCGGCCGCCAGACCCACGCCCACGCCGATGGAGAGGGCGGCGCCCGCGGCGCGCCGCGCCCCCGCGGGGCGGCCCGCGCCCAGCTGGTGGCTGACGCGCGTGGACGCGCCCTGGCCCAGCGACGACGGGAACACGTAGACGAGCGACGTGGCCTGGATGAGGATGCCCATGGACGCCACGGTGGCGCGCGGGTTGGCCAGGAGGCCCGACAGCACGATCATGAGCTCGTACCACCACCACTCCAGGCAGACCGCCGTGGCAGTGGGCACCGCCAGGCGGAGCAGCTCCGGCCAGCCCCGGAGGCAGTCCAGGGTGGGGCCCACCCACGAGTCCCTGTGCGCTCCCGAGATGGCGAGGAAGCAGAGGAGTGCCAGGAGCAGGTTGAGGTCGGTGAGCGCCACGGCCAGCGCCACCCCGGCGACGCCCATTTGGAGGCGCACCACGAGGAGGTAGTTGATGGGCCCGTGCAGCAGCACGGAGAAGAGGGAGCACGCCGTGATGGGCAGCGTCAGGTTCTGCGATCGGAGGTAGACGCGCAGCGGGTGCAGCACGGCCAGCACCGCGAGGTCGGCCGACGCGTACGCCGCGAACGTCTGCGCCGCGTCCGCCACGCCCTCGTCCTGCCCCAGCAGCTTGAGCACGCACCCCGTGGAGGTGACCCACAGCGCGGAGATGGGCAGCGCCACGGCCAGGAGGAGCAGCACGGTGCGGTGCAGCGCCAGCGCCAGCAGCTTGCCGCGGCGCGCGCCGAAGGCCTGGCCGCAGATGGGCTCCATGCCGAGCGCCAGCCCCGAGAGCACCGAGTAGCCGGTGATGTTGGCGAAGCCAAGCGCCAGGGAGCCGCCGGCCAGCGCCAACTCGCCCAGGCGGCCCAGGAAGAGCATGGAGATGAGAGCCCGGGAGTACATGACCAGGCCCGTGACCGCCATCGGCACCGACACCCTGCCGATCGCCCGAGCCTCGCCGGCCACCTGCAGCAGGTGCCATCATCCAGCACAACATGTAAGAGCACAGCTAGCTAGCACAGGTACGGGACGAGCTGCCGTTTTCCAACAGCTCGCGCTTTCCTTTTCTTTCCCGTTACTATTACCGCAACATGGCAGTACCAGCTAAGCTAGTAAACTAGTAGTAGCAGTAGACATTAAACAACACAAGCAGCAGCTAGCTAGGTGCTGACACTGGCGCACTGTAGCCGCGCCTGTGCGTGTGCGTGTGCGTGTGCGTGCCACTCACTAACCGGCCTAGCTATCTTCATTCGCAGCAGCTTAGGCTTAGCCGCAGGGAATGAAGAATGTGCACGGCCACACGTGTACGGCGGCGGCGGCGCGGGTATACCTTGGAGAGCTGCAGGGCATGGCCGCTGCCTTCGTCGCCGTCGACGGGGTGGAGGAGCTGGTGCGCGGCGGCCTTGAAAGAGCCGAGCGCCAGCGCCGGCGCCGCCAAGGAGGCGTCGGTCCCGGCGGCGTTGCACATGATCGACGGCGGCAGCAGCGATTGATCGATCGGTCGATCTCGGGGGCTGGAAAGTGCCTGCGCGTACTCCGGCCGATCCCGCCGCGCGTGTGCGTGTCTCTCTCTCCCACTCCCACTGCCACTGTTGAAGAAGATATAAGCACGCAGCGAGAGGGAGGCGCTGTCCTCCGGTGATTGGTGCCCGGCGCGAGGTACAAGTACGTTTTGACTAACTTGCTCGAGAGCCTTTAGTAATCTCTCTCTCTCTCTCTCTCTCTCTCTCTCTCTGTGGCGGGTGGTGCTCTCGGCCTTTTGGTCTCCTCCAGAGGAGGTGAGGCGGTCAGTGGAGTGCGATCAGGATTCAGGAGTCGTGCTGGTTGGTTTGTGTTTGGGTCGCCTTGGGGGGCTGTGGCCTGCCTATATATATACGCGCGCGCCTGGGGTTGGGGGGTGGGGGACGGTGACGGTGACGGACGCCAGGAGCGGGAGAATGCCGCGCGCCGCCCCGGCCGCCCACGCACCAGGCAAACAAAGGCTGGCTGGGCGGCTGTGCACGGACGTACGTGTCCGCCATTGGGGGTCGAATTCGAGGCGCGCGCGCCCGCGGGCCGGGAGGGAGGATCGGAAAGTTTGCGTGCGCCGGCACCGGTCCTGATCGATCGCCTCTCGCGTCTAGGCATCGGCATCTATCTATGCGCGCTTGGTTGTCTGAAAAATTCCGCTATCCCTTTGGGCGTGGAATGGCATATTGGCACGTCCGATCTGTCGGAACAAATGGGTTCCATCCAGTCTCTCGCATCGGTCGCGTGCGTGCGCACTGCGCACCCACGGCCACTGGCCCGCCGGCCGCCCCACGCTGTGACAGCTCAGTGGTCGATACAGATTAACTCGACCGCAGCCCGAGTGGTTCGCGGCCGAACTGCACCTACACTGCTGTGACTGTAGAGTAGAGTTGATTTGCTCTGGCCCTCTCTGCCCAGGCCGCCGGCCGCGGTCAATACTGGTGTGGTGGCCATCGATCGGTCGCCGCAATTAGCTGCCGGCGCGGCGCATCACCACACACCAGGCACTCGCACGGGCGGCACGGCACCAGCATTCCCGTTCCTCACGGAACGGATGGGGTTTTTGCATGCCGGGCCCTGGGCCCTGCCGTTTTACTTTACCTTCTTCACCTTCAATTTTCTTCTGTCCTGTCGTGCCGGGTGCCGGTCGGTCTTGCATTGGGCCTACGCACGCATAGCTCAGCTGTCGACGTTGGAACGATGCATGCATGTCGATCGGTGAGGAATTGCGCGCAGCAGGGCAGGCCCGGGCGCGGCCGGGGCAGGGCACACCCAGAGGAGTCCCAGCCAGAAGTGATGGCTGCACTGTGAAGTGCACAGCATTGAGTTCACGTCCAGAATGACAGGATGGTGAGCTACTACCTGCTAGCTAGGCCGATGACGGACCCTCTCTCTCTCTAGCTCACTCTGCGCCTGTAGATCGGCATGCGATGCGAGGCTCGGCCGGCTGGCTAGGATAAGCATGCATGCGATGCGATACGCGCACCCACCCAGGGCAGGGCACGCCGCAGGCCTCTGCGCTGCGCCCTGTGCTGTGCTATCCGTGGCTGTGCGCGCTTAATTGGCGCGCGCATCGCGCTCCCACACATATTGAAGCCGCAACAGCAGCGGGGAGCAGAGCAGGTTCGGCTCGATGCGGTAGCTGCTCATGTGTCGCGTGCATGCGCTGCACTGCACCACCCTTGTCGTCTCCGTTGCTCACTGCTACTCGCGCACAGCAGCGACCCAGGCCAGGCCACGCCATGGGACGGGTGGTCCGTGTCCCTGTGGCCTGTGCTGTGCCGCGCTGCGCTCTGAATCAAATGCAAGGAGAGAAGAGCGAGCAGCGCGCGGCAGCTAGCTAGAGCTAGCTGCTGGCATTGATCCCTAGTTCTGGGGCAGCTTGCAGTTGCAGGCACAGGGTTTTGCAATCTAGCTACCCGATTTGCGCGAATTTAAGCTCCTCCGCCCTGCGTGCGCAGCTAGCGGAATGCAGGCAGGCAGAGGCAGCGCAGGCATGTGTGTACTCTTATTTACTCTTTGCCCTGTCCTTCAGTGCCCCGGCCCCCTGCAGCAGGGTTAATTCCATCAGAGAAATCCCTGCCGTTTTAATCTGAATCCTGAAGACGCCAGTACCGTCTGAGGTGGGTTTGATTGAACTTTCAGTCCTCACAAGTACAAACACCAACCTTTTTCCCCCCTTGCTTTGCTGCTCCATCTTTTTACAAGCTTTTAATTTGCCGTGCCCCTTTTTTTTGCCATTCCAGCAAAAGCTGCAGCTTTTTCTTCGTCTGTCCATTACTATTGCAACACGAAGCATATCCTGGACATTTCTGGGGTGGACTTTTCAATTGCTTGGCTTCTGTGTATAACCAAGATTGCCGGATATAAACACGCTGAATTTGTTCCTGGCTGGACCGCTCCAGGACTCTCCGTCCGTTAATTCCGATCCCTTTCAGCCAGGTGGCCTCCTTTGAGGTGGCGTCAAGAACAATCATCTAACGTACACTCAGATTTTGATGCCTATAACGTGTGCAGCGTTTCAGTGCGTACCACTTCAGATGCGCATCGGCTGGCTTATTGTACATGTACGTCGCAGCACGGTAGCAGCTGTAGCAGTATGGCTTTAGCAGCTAGCATCTTTATCTCGGCTGTGCTGCTGCCTCTAAGTCTAACTAGCTACTAGCTGTCGTTTTAGAGTACGCTACAATACAACCGTTTCGCTGAAATTTGGCTTATTCTGATTCGTTGTGAGAGAAAAACAACGTTCGTTCGCTGAAAAGTACTGCTGAAGTAGTGCTGCAGAACAGGGGATATACTTCTATTTCAGTATTTTTTTTAGAAAAATATGTGTACTAATCACGTATATATGCAAGATTATCATTATGATTGGCCACAATAAAGCTTAATGTACGTGTATCACTAAGATTCGTTGAGCACTTGTGTGACCATACTAGCTATATACTTCTAATACTAATGCCTTATTTACTATACAAACTAGCAAGGTGGCCCATGCAAATAGTGTGGGCACCTAGATTTTTTATTATAGTATTCTTATTTAGAAAAATATAGACAATTCTGTTTATTTGTTTGACGATTGTAATTACCCTCTCTCTACATGCTTCTACTGCATCCAATGAATGAATTCTGTAGATATCTTGGACCAATATATTCCTAGGTTTAAAACTATTGTCGTATATCTCCCCTCTCTGCCTTTTTTTATCACTCCTATCAGCTATCACATAGTTGCACAACTTATGCCGAGGTATCCTTCAGTTTTCCCTTGATGGCTTAGCTCTATTCCTTAGTAGAACCAGAATTCTAGTCTCTGTTTATTTCATCAAAAAATAATCCTAGTTTGTTCAGATGTATTTAGGGCCATAATGTGAACTAGGTAGTTTTTGTGTTATCCATTCCCCAATCCTCTCTCTCTCTCTCTCTCTCTCTCTCTCTCATATCCAGTACCCTGATTATTGCTCCATTGTTCATGCAGACAATAATATAATGGGACATGTTGGTGCTTGATGAGACGTATTTGTTGTCGCACTGAGAAGCAAGATAAGGTCGGGTTGTCTCTAACGCTATATCTAGCTACCCTATGTATGAATGAGGTTGATGGGCACAGCGGTATGAATGAGATTGGGGAGGAGCAGGTAAAATCGTGTTATATATGGACTCGGATTTATTTATTTATTTATTATGACCCAATTATTGGCAACTCAAGTAGGGCTAGAAAAGTACCAAAAAAAGAATGCTCATACTCATTTTGGCTGCTTGGAATAGCTTATAGTTTGACAAGTATTTTTCTTAGCCTCTTAGGAGCTCCTGCAGATACTCTAACGAATAATAACAAGGTCACCTAGCTAGAATATGATCACATGCATGGCTTGTGACCCACGCCACATTTAGTCCATTATACATCACAATGCATGCATGGAAATCATATTACATTGCAATGTATCCATTCCAAAACATGCGATGATCAACTAATGCATGATTGATTCCATCATTATGTGGCTCAGGTGCAACGCAATGCAAAGTCACATGCATAAGTCTGCCAAGGAACATAATCGAAACCCAAATTAATGTACGTTCTTAGAGTAAATAGGGATATTTATTTAAAAGGGGTATAATTACTATTTTTTCGAACACACAGGAGTATTAAATTGAGAAAAAAGAGTCGGGGGGGACCTACCTACCTACCTCCACTAGGAGATGAAAGAAGGTTGCAATAAAAATCCAAACAATCACTACTATATAAATAAATTTTAGAGGTGTTTCATTTTTTTAGCCCCGGTTGGATAAAAAAACCGCATCTAAAAATAATTTTAAAGATGGAACCACCTGTAAAAATTGATTTCTAGAGGTGGTTGATATTTCTAGATGCCTATAAAAATGCTCTATAATTTCAGGAGTAGTTGGAAATTTGACCCACCTTTAAAAAATAGGTGCATTTTAATTTTTTAAAATAAAGTTAGGTGAAGATAAACTTTATATCAAAATTGCAAAGCTTGAAGAGATCTACAATTTTGTAATTGATGTTTTTTATTTGAATTTGTGTAATCTCCAAAAAATGGTTTCAGCTCTCACATTTCAAAATTCAAAATTTTGAATTTTCAAACTGCTTCGGATGGAGATATGCCCTATAATTAAGTTGAAGTGCTTGACGAAATCTAAAACTTTGTGGTTAAAACTTTTCTCATTTGAAATCATTTTAGGGGATGAAATTTTCAATACAATATTCATAGAAGCTAATAAAAAGGATAACATCCTACACTTAGTCACAAGTGACTTTGTGACATATCAGTATGGAAGGCTCACACCGGGCAAGAGGTCTTAATAAGTTTGGGCTTCTCCTGGGATTTACAAAAGATCTCTATTTTTTGGCTGAGTTTTTACTTCTGGATAATGATCTTTGGATACGGGCCATGTTACTGATCGCCTCTAGAATAGACTTGATTTCTAGAGGCCCTTGAATAG